TCAGCTGTATAGCTTTTAGTCATAGTACAAACAGTTCTGGTCGTAACTACAGCTGGTAGCTTACTAGAGTTGAGGCAAGGAAGCTTCTACTTTCTTAAGGATTTGTTTAAAAATCGTAGCAAAGAGCCACCTGGATCTCCAGTTGCTTTGACGCCGACAACAACAACAACAACATACACATTTACACTTTATTTCCGTTATAAATATGCTCAGCCATACGGCTAGTTTTCAGATATCCCACGGGTAAAATTAGGCCAAAAATTAAATTAAACAAATTAAAATTTGAATTACTAACTGATAAGATTAAATACCTTAACCTGAAATTATGATTTAATAACAAAAGTTGACAACAACAACAACAAAAACAACAAGATACCCACACGCTTTATAGCCAAATTCGTTGTATCGCGCTGTGCGTTTTCGAATGGGTTTTTCTGTTCCGTCAATCATTTGAGTGGGGGCGGAGTTAATGCAAATCACCATGCAACGCACTCGCCCAGCTTGGCCCTCAAAAACAAAACTGAGAATGACTGTAGACTGCTCAAGAACAGAGAAGGAAATCTCGATGATGAGTCGACTTTTTTTAGAGGGCAGGGGGCAGACATTGCTTTATTCTTGCAAGAGACAAGAATAAGAAAGATCGGGAAAATCTTCGAAGAAATCTAGTCAAAAACAAACAACTGAAAGTGGATCGAAATGCACTACTCACAAGAAAACATGTGTTTTCTAAGAGGTTCGCTACAGTAATTGACGGAACAGAAAAACCCAAAATTTCTTCGAAGTTTGCAAAACGTGCAGGGCGATACAAGGAATTTGGCTATAAGATATAGGTTGGAATGTTTTATTAGGTATAGGATACATGTTCTCGTCGTCTTATTGTTATGTCGTGTTTTATAGGTGTCCCTAACACGCCCGTGTTCGACGTTATATCGAGCGAAAATGAAAATGATTGTGCTGTCTTTGTACGATGGCTCCGGGAACCATCATCAAGTGACTGCCCTGTACTATTTCATACAATAAGCTACAGACGACAAGGTGAAAATGAGTGGACCAGATTGAACATTACAGAGGCAAATACCAATCGCCAGAAGATCAAGACAGACTGTTCTACAGAATATGAGGTCCAGGTCTTGGCGTGGAATGACGTAGGACCGAGCCCCATTACCACTAAAACGTACACAACGAAAGAGAATGCAATAAATAATAATGGAAGAGGTATATATGGTGGTCATTGTATAGAGCGTTTTGACATGACTGTACAGCGGCTATAATGAAATTCCAAAAGAACAAAACGGCAGCCATGGAGGTGTTCCAACCAATCTTGCGGGAATTAAACTGACTTTTCTTGTGTAAACGCTTGCTTTTGATGCTCCAATTATTTTGCATACATTCTGGGCACATGAGTGAAAACACTCCATACATATAGAAGGTGTCTGAGTGTATTAGTGTAACGATAGAAAATATTTACAGAATGATACTGCTCATATTTTCCTCCATTAGACATGTATTTAGGACGACACTTATTTATTGATCATCCATCTAGTGCAACAGATTTAATTAACTATAAAAAAGAATAAATACAGTCCCAAGAAAGTTGTAACGCTATTCTTTGTCAGGGACTTACTGCAATAGACCAATTTACAGTTGCGAGGGCAGATCATCAGATCTCATAGCAGCCAATGTAGATACCGAAAGCGAAAAATTGTTATATTTAAAGTTACAGGTATTTCTCTGGTGTATATTCTCATCTTTATCTTCGCCGGTTTACTTACAATCGTGGGAGCTGTACTGCTGGCAGTGTGCATCAATAAATACAGAAAGAAAGGAAACCAATCCACTAAGAGGTATGTAGGTACAATCTGCTTTTAAAATTCCTCTTTTCCTTCATTTTAAAATATGCAATATATACCCAACATTCCGGGATATTTGCGTCCACCTGAGCCGTGTAGTCTCTTTTGACGTGTAAGGCCTTTAGAATACATCTTTTGTATTCTACATAATTGTAGTAGAGCTCATTACGGTGAAGCTGCGCGTCGGAACGCCACGAGTAAGAAAATCTGGTCATCTAGCGATACATAAATTTTGTTCGGCCAAATGTTTCCATTTGATTAAACGGGCGTTCTAGAACTTAAAATACAGTCCTACCTCCACTAACGGCCTCCTCTACACAACTGTCACCTCTCTACCACAGCCACTTTGTTTGAAGGACAGTCCATACACTGACTCGTTTAAACTTCTCTAAAACTGCCACCTGTCTACAAAGGCCACTTTCTACTGTCCCCAAGGTGGCCGTTGTGGAGAGGCTCAGAGGCTATTGTTTTTAAACATTATAGGACTGCAAAGGACATCCAGGTTTTGGACGGTTGTGAAATTCCTCCAATGAGAACAGAATTTCTTGAATTGGTGGGTGAAGGAGCATTTGGTAAAGTTCACAAAGCGACACTAAAAGACGGTATGGCATACTTTGAAGACGGGCGTGACTGGCCTAGCAGGCCTAGAA